ACCCCCACCATTCTGTGATTCTGTGGTTTGGAATGAAGAGGCTTAAGGGATATTTCCTGGTAGGCTGTTCTGTAGCTGGTCTGTCTGTAAAATTGATCTTGGTTATCAGATTTGGAGTTAGGCTTCATTGACATTAATTCCTGAGATTATTATGCTTTAGATTTTCGCTTCCATGCCCACGGGTAACACGTTTATCTGCAGCATTTGCCCATCCTGAGCCCAGCCATCTAGGTGCATGGGAAGAATCTTGTCTGTGGGGAGGCCTGTGGTTCATGTTCAGTGATTAGAGAGAGAAGGAAATGGCAGAAAGACATGCTGAGACATGGGGCGTTTATGGCTATATAAATGATTAAGTAACAAATTGATAAGTAACTAATTGGGTAACTCATAAAGATTATCTGATTGCTAGCACCATGGTTTAAAAGGTCAATTTTAATCTTCTCATGGCTTAATGTGCTCTTCATTAGCTTAGTCATAAAAGTTTGTGCAAGACATTTCTGGGCTAAAGGTCTAGGGTTTTTTAGCTCCTTATCAAGTCAATTACCTTTAAATGAAGCTTTTTAAAATGAACTTTATAGCTTTTATTTACACTAATATGGTACGTTTTGTTTATTTAAGTAGATGTGTTACACCATAAAGCAATAATATTACTGCTTTGTAAATGAGGTGTTCCTCGGAGTTCTGCCTACCTGATGTATTTCTAATAATTCTAACTTCAGCTGTGAAGGAAGTATGTCCAGTTGAGCAAAAACTGTTCTGGTACTCAACCACAGAGTTATCCAGAGACTTCTAACCTGGGTTTGGATTGTCTTTCACATAAATCCCAAACAGTTGTGTAAGTGTTAGCTGGTTAGCACAGCTCAGACTTGGTGGGTGAACTTAGGTTTAACTTCTGCAAACTTCACTGAACATATTCCTGAAGTAGCTTAATGTTTATTCAGCTATTAGCATAAGTATTTAAGACCTGCCTTCTATCTTCAGTTTACTTTCTTGATCGCCCATGTAGAATGAGCCAAATACAAATGCATGCTACAGATCCATAAAACAGATTTAATCTGTTGATATAACAAGTCTTTCTGTACCCAAGAATCAATTTGAGAGGTCTTAATTTGTTTCCTACCAAATGGAATCAGAATCATTCCATTTGGAAGGGAGTGCTGGAGATAATCTACCCTAATACCCTGCACAGAGCAGTGTCAATTCAAGGCCATGTCAATCTGGGTTTCAAATGTCTCCAAGGATGGAGAGTTTGTATGTCTGGGCCAGTGTTTGAATGCCCTCACTGTAAGAAAGTTTTCTTTTTTATATATTTAAACATTTCTTGTGTTCCAGTTTGTGCTTGTTGCCTCTAGTCCTGTCACTGGGCACCAGTGAGAAGCCAGTTTCTGTCCCCTCTATTTCTTCCCATCAGGTATCCATACAGATGGATAAGATCCTCCTGAGCATTCTCTTCTCCAGTCCCAGCTCTCTTTGTCTCTCCTCATATGACAGATGCTCCAGTCACTTGATGAACTGTTTTGTCCTTCACTGGACTCTCTCCAGTATTGTCCATATCTGATTTATACTGGGGAGCCCAGAACTGAACCCAGCACTCCCGATGTATCTCTCCGAGGCTGAGGAGAGGGGAGTGATCACCTCCCTTGACCTGCTGGCAATTTCTGCTAAGGCAGCTCAGGAGGCTGTTGGCCTTCTTTGCTGCAAGTGTGCATTGCTGGCTCATGGTCTGCTTGGTGTTCGCCAGAACCCCAAGGACTTTCTCTTCAGAGTTGCCTTCCAGCTGTTTGGCCCCCAGCCCGTACTGATACCTGATGTTAGTCATCCCCAGGTGCAGGATTGGCATTTGCCTTGGTTGAACTTGGCCCATTTCTTTACCCAGCCAGGGTCTCTCTGAATGGCAGTACTCCCATCTGGTGTACTCCTCCCCGTTACACATCCTCTGCAAACTTGCTGAGGGAAACTGTCCTGATGTCTAGGTGATTAAAGAAGATGTTAGGCAATGCTTGCCCCTCTATCAGTCCCTGGGATGCACCAATACTGACTGACCTCCAGCTGGACTTGAAGCCACTAATCTTCACCCTTTCAGTGCAGCAGTTCAGCCAGGTTTCAGTCCACCTCTCTGTCCCCTTATCCTGCCTGTACTTCAGTACTTTGTCAGTGAGAATGTTAGAAGAGACATTATCAAAAGCTTTGATACAATCACAATAAACAGCATCCACTGAGCTAGTCATCTCACCATAGAAGGCTATGAGGTTAGTCAAGCAAATTTCCCCTTCATAAATCCATGCTGACTGTTCCAAATCACCTTCACCCAAGCTACATGATTTGTTAGGAATGGGCTTCCAGGAGGATTTGCTCCATCACCTTTGCAGGGATCAAGGTGAGGCTGACCATCCTATAGTTCCCTGAATTATAGTTCTTGCCTTCCTTGAAGATAGAAGGGATATTTGCTCTCTGCTAGTCTTTAGGAGCGTACCCAATCACCACAACCTTTCAAACATTACTAAGAGTGGCCTTGCAATGTCACTGGCCACCTCCCTCAACATCTTTAAGTGGATCCTATCATAGCCCAGCAGTTTGGTAGCATCCCATTTCGGTGTTCCTTAGTCTTTGCGGAAGGCAGGTCTTGTCCTGTCACCTTTACCCAAGTTCCTGCACATCAGAATGGACCAATCTTGAGCTTGGCAGAGGTGATCCTTGGTAATCAACCATCTATCTCTCCTGTGTCCCTCTTCTCTCCAAGGTCACATTGCATGGGATTCGCCTGAACAGGCTAAAGTCTGCTCTCCTATTGTCTGGGTTTGTGGTCCTGTTTTTTGCCTTGCTCTTTCTTCATGGGACCCTGAATTCCACCACTCATGGTCACTGCAGCCAAGACTGCTCCTGACCTTCACATCTCTGAGCAGTTCTTCCTTGCTTGTAAGTGTGAGATGCAGCTGGTTCCCTAGTTGGGTGCTCAGTCACCCGTGTTAAGAAGCTACCATTAACACACTCCAGAGGGTCCCTGGACTGCTGACACCTTGCTGTGTTGGCCAGCCTATTGGTAGAGACATCATCACTCTGCTTTTGACCAACCAATTGGTGAAGATGCTTTTGTTCTGCTTACACAAGTGGGTCTCACCTTTTTCCAGAAATCAGTCCTTGATAAAGAAAGCTGGTCCCACGTTTGTAAAACATGAGTCCCTGCTGCTGACACCAGCTGTGCAGCCAGTTGTTTACTGGTAGGATCTGTCTTTCCCCTTCAAGAAAATAGGTAATAGTAAATACAAGATTTCAGCTTTTACATGTAAATGAACAATCTTCAGACCAGAGGGGGAGACACAGGAATTCAGCTGCAGTTCAAGCAGTCTTGTTATGATTTCTATGTCTAAACATCCAGGATCCTGCTATGACTAACTGACCTACCTATAAATTGGCACAGTCTTATTCTTTTTCTTTCCTCTTCACTTTTTCAAGCTGTGGCCAATGAGTTCACTTTTGCCTGGAGTTGCCTGTGCCTTAAGCATGACTGTAGATAGTTTTTCAAGATACACTTGGGAGCTGTCTCGTATGTTCTCACAGGAATGGGTACACTGTGATCTATGCTCTTACTCCTGTGTTGTTGTAATACAGACTTGTTTATACGATTTGCTATTGGAGTTATTCTAGGTAAGAACTGCTAATTTTCCTTTAAAGGATGTATCTGATGGGAATGGGAAGTTTTGTGGAGAAGGTTGAGGTGAGCGATGTTCATTAATACCAGTAGGGTGAGGCAACTGTCCTCTTCTGGAAGGACTGAATTCTGTATGCTGCCCTGTCTTTCCGATGCATAGCTAATGAAGGATGCAGTTTCACAAAATATCTAATGAGTGACTTTGTGACTTTCAGCCTTGCCTCTGTCTCACTGCCAGAGATGCTCTCCTGTCTGCATCTCATCTAGTGACCGTGTGGCTGCAAACTTAGTTGATTCAGTTTCTTAATTTGGAGAAAATACCCAAACCAAAGCAAAACAGAAAATAGTGGTTTTCCATTAGACCTGTAAATGAAACCAATTTTTTTTTATTGTTGGAAGAACAGCAAGGTCTGACACAGAGGAAGAAGGATGTGTCCAATTATGTGAGTGGATGTTCATATTCTCGTGATGTCAGCTGATGGGAGGTGGATTTGTGAGTTCCTGGAGGGCAGCACAGAACGAGACTTGGGCCACAATAACTTACCCTGGCCAGCCAGAGCCAGCATGTATGCTGGTCTAGTCTAGTAACTACCCTTGTTCCAGACAAACTTGTTGAGCCATCTGTAGTAAAAAAAAAAAAAACAAAAACAAACTCTCAATTTTTTCTGTCTTCTGGTAATGTTTGTACAGCTGTCTTTACAGTTGGAGTTGGCATTGTTTGCTTTTGCCTAAAACTGAAAACTATTGGTCAGAGGCATCCTGTGCATTTCAAGTTTAAAACTCCAATATTGGCTAAAGAAACCCCATGTTTCATCTGAATAGCAGAAGGATGGCTTTTGCAGGCTACGACTCGAAGAATTGCCATTTAGTTTCTAGGGATACTTCAAATCTGGTCTTGTTCTTTTGTTATCCTGGCCTTCACGGTGTTGATGTAATGCTGTTCCAGAAGAGGGAAGATGACTTCGCTTTCAAGCGTGATGCACTCCAAGTCTTTTCTAGAGTGCTTTTATAGATGAGACTGATTTTTTTCTGTGCATGCATGCGTGTGTGTAAACTTAAAATCAGTTCTGAATGGCAAATTAGATAATCTCTTAGGGAGACTGTGGAGCCCTTGATAGACACTTGCCACAGCTGGGAGTGAGTCTGGGCTAAGGGGCAGGACCTGGGATTCAGTTGTGCCATACCTGAGCAGTGACCTGTGTTGGCTTTCCAGAGAACTGTGTAGCTCTAACTCCGCTTCATAAGGTGAGGACTTTTTTCAGGTAGATCGTGATGTTGTAATGCAAAATCTTCATTCAGAGCCTTATTTCACATGAGTGAGAAAGGCATTTGTCCATTGACATAAAAATGCACTTGGGACCTTATTTAGTGTAAACTGCACAGCATAGACACAACAGTTAACACATTTTGGTCTCTAGTAGACTATTCTGTATACATGTGGGATAAGATTTAACCTACCCTAAATTTCCCTTTACATAACTGAGGTAGGTGAAAGGTGGTGATCCCTCCCCATCTAGCAACAGCAGATCACCAGCTCATCACCCCTGCATCTGTCTGTTCTCTAGTGTGTTCTTGAACTTGCTCTTCATACTTCCTCACTTCCTCAGCCGGGCCTCAGCAGTCTGGAATGAAGGTCCTGTTTCTCCATGAGGCAGCAGAGGCCAAGTTTTGAGGTTCTCTTTTGCCCCTTCATTTTAAGACTTCCTTTTACTGCTGAGGTTGAGAGAAAGGGAATTTCTTCAGAAGAGAGAAATACACTGCAGTGTATCTGCACAGTCCTTTTCCTTTGCTTTTCCTTTTCAAGGATAAGGTTGAGATGCTGAAAATTGCCTAAAATTGATTATTGCTTCTCTTTGCTGGAATCAAAGTCAGGCTTCTTGCCACCAAGGAGTAAGGAATAAGGAGCAGTTGCTAGTTACAAAGACAGTGGGAAAATTTTAACTATTCACTTGCTTCTTTTCCATATTTGTTTGTTTTCCCTCGCCCCACTGGGTGCCTTCAGATTTTCTTCGGTAACAGTGAAGAGAATGACTTTCAATTGTTACATAAATGGATATAATACATGATGGTGAAAACGTAAAGGGGTTAAAAAAAGGGAGTCTGCTGTGCTTAGAGAGCACACAACATGAAGACAACACTGTTAAGCAAATAGTTGGATTTTTTTACTTATTGTATTATAATTTTATACAGGCACTTTCAGAACTATATAGGCAAAAGAATTAAAATATTTTAATTGTGTGCTATCTGGGTTTGCAAGTTTTATCTTGTTTTCAGCAATTAGATTCTGAAAACTTCACTCTTAGGATTCCCAGGCCATGGAGGTCATGCACTTGAACTTCCCTTTTTGGAAAACCTCGGCCTGTATATTTAAATGGTGCTTGATGGTACTTCATTGCACAGGGGCAAACACAACGTGAGATAACCATTGCATACTTCATTTTTATTTCTGAGAGTCAGATGCTGATTTGGGGTGTTTGGTTTTTACCCCAGCATTTCATCAATGAACTCCCTCTTAAGGCAAGTATTTTACGTTTCTGACAGCTTTCATGCCCAGCCATCCCTCCAGCTGCGGACATTCTAGGTTCTTGGTGTCGTCAAAACCATACAGCCAGACCTGACAAATGCGCAGAGACCCCAGTGCCATTCAGGAGTGGCATTCAGCTGGAGGAACTGTGAGATACCCAAAGGTGCTTAACCAGAGTTTGTCTAACCTTATCTCACTATCTCTGTTTAGACAGCTGAGTCTTGTCCTTGTGCATTAACCATGAGTCAGGTCATTTGGCCTTAGTAAAAGGTCCACTGATGCCCTGTCTACTTAGAAGTTTTTCCACAACTGCAAATTGTGCCCACGAAAGGTTTGGTTGTTTTACCTATGCCATACATAGTTTTCATATGGCAGTTTCATGGCAAATGTGTTTTAACAAGCTAACAGTTTAACAGCATTGGCCTCTGAAATTGTGTATTGCCGAGCTTGGTAGACACCATTGTACCTTGGTGCCTTGATTCAGATGTTCATCTTTCAGTGGCACCAGCTATCTAGTTTCTTAGGTTATTTTGATAAGTCACTTTAAAAATAGATTAAAATATTTTCCAGTGAGTAACAATCATGTGGATAGGAGTTTGTCACTGGCAGCTTTGAGTGTAACTTCTCTTTGCCTGTTTTGACCTCTGACTGCTGAGTGCGTGAGTCTTGCTCCATCAGGCACCCACGTGTGTGTCTGCCTGGTGACCAGTCTTGCCATACATGAAAGATGTTTTGAGAGATGTTACAGCTTCCAATATTTTTTTTTTCCTTAAAGACATCAAAGCACTGGAGTAATTTGTCATGGGCTAGTGGAAAAAAACAAACAAAAAACCCACAACATTTTGGAACTGTTTTCAGCTGCTTCATGTCAGCACCAAATTATATACAAAGAACAAATGCAGGACTGATGGAAGGCACAGGTTACTGAGAAATGCTTTGGGACAAATTTTTTCTGTGACTAGGAAAATAGTAGAGCTTTAAAAAAATTAAAAAATGAAGGATGAGGCTAGTGACAAAACCAGACTGACAGGTTAATGAGTCACTAATATGATACAGGGTGGAAATTCTTCTCTCTATGCTGTGGGCTGAACACTGGTTTGCTTTTGTGACATGACATAAAATAGTTCGGTAACTCTAAATTTACCAGGCAGATCTGTGTTTTAATTTTGCTTCTAATCAATTGTTTTGCCAATGACCAGGCCCAACAAAAATGATAGCACCAGCAGAAAGAGAATCCAATACACAGACTGTATTGTAAACAAAAATGTTACGATATGAATGACCGCCGGGGGTACAAACAAGTCAACCAGCTCAGACATGATCGACACCACCCCCAACAATCCCACAAATGACACAACTCGGCCCACAACAGGTGGTACAAACAGTGAGCTGAGGTTTCCCACAGTTGGCATGGGAAACAGCCAGACCAGCCAGTTAAATACATAAGAAAAAGGTGCCCACATGGCAACTCTCACCCGATCGACCCGTGCTTGCAAAGGCCTAAACAGACCAGGGCCCAGCTCCATGGAGAGTCAGGAGGTCTGCCCTGAACCAGGAAGCTCTGTGGAGTGCACTTCACAGACAGACACTCCTGACTCCCTGCAGGTGGTCCCAGCTTTTATCCCCAAGCAGACACCTGACCTTTGTTCACTCAGTGGGGGACCCCTGGGGCTCATTTCCCTTCTGGCTCTCCCTGCAGGGCCGGCCGCACCCTGGGGGGAAGCTATAAGGCAAACTCACCCCCTCTTTATGAAGGGCTGTGGGAATCACCCATATGTCAACCTTAATTCGGGGCTCGGGGTTCAAACCCCAGCATTTCATCAATATGCTCTTACGTGGGAAGTACCTCAATGTGTTCAGATTTTGGTTGTATAAAAACCTGTACGTGTATTGCAGCAGACGTTACTGTAGACCTCAGTTCTAATGTCTCTTGTCATCAATGTGTATGTTTTCTGTAGCTTTCAAAATCTAAGAAAAAAAATCTCTGTTGGTTTGAGTATTGCATTAGAACACACCAGAAGTCTTGCAACTATTTTTAGTAGTCAGTGTTTTAGGAGTGTATACCACAATTCTTTGAAGACACTCGCTTGAAAATCTAGTCTGGGGGCAAAGAAGGTAACACAGAAAATAAAAATGCTCTTATCAGATGTTTTACCACTTCCTACTAAGTCTCCCAGCCTAGAAAATACTTCATTGATTTTTGCTTGGGCAGTGTTACACTACTTTTTTTTTATTAATTCAAAAATAAAACCACAGCTATCAACTGGCCAAATATTAAAGTGATGATAAAGAATAATTCATGCATAGTATGAAGAAGTAGATACTTCTAAAGGCACATACTTTATCTTCCTTCAGCTAGGAATGGTAGAATAAACATAACAAGCAGAACCACAGCAGTACACAGCAACATCTCAGCCAGGGCTATAGTTGTCATCCTGACTGCTCTGAGCTTTCACATACTTCTAATCATTAGGAAGAGATTTTTAAAAGAAATTTTCTTGACAAAGAAATACGAACATTGCTTCTCTTTCTACAGCTAATCAGAAGGAAAAAAAAATTAGCAGCATTATTTCAGTCTTTTCTGTATATGATGTATCATAAAGCTGATAAAGCACAAAGATAAAAAGGAGAGCATCAAATCTGCATGACAACAAAACAGAAGAAAAGAACAAATTTTAATTGCATGTTGTTTTTCACAGACTTCCTCACTACTCTAAATTTAAATTTCTTGGAATTTGTGTCTACTCAGATGGCTCCACTGTATCCATCCAGCTTAGGCATGTGTTTGAAAAGAAGCGGGGAAAGAAAAGTGAAGATTTAGACAAGCTATAACTGAATTTGCTCATCAATGCAGAAAAGCTAGTATGCATTGTAATGCATTTCCCATTTCTGTTCTGTAGAGTTTTAAGTATATTTAAAGTGTATGTTCTGGATGAAAGGATTTTAATAGTCTGTATGAGGCAAGAGAAAACTTAAGGAGCTGAACTGCCTGGTCCTCTCTCTGCCTTTAAAAGTATGACTTGAATTCCAACCTGATGGAAAGCCATAGATAAGAACATCTATTTCTTTCAGAGAGGCCAGGATTTCATTCCAGAAATAATTTCTCAGACTTAGAGGAAGAAACATACTGTTACTAAAATGCGGTCTAACAAAACACTTTTTCACTGTTGGGAGTGAGAAGTGGTTTTATCCTTTTGAAAACATGGAGATTGTTTAGAGTGACAACAGTACAGTGATGTCACTGCCATTTAGCACTGGAACAAGCCCTTCCTGACTGTTTTAAAATGGGTTACAATGTGTTGGTTGCACAGGACCTGCTGATAGCATGAGCAGTGATTTCTGGTGTCTGGGTTCACAGAGGAGGCCTTATGGCTGCCCACTGGGTAGTGAATGCACAAGTGTCCCAGGTTTGTTTTGTCACAGGGAGATGTAGTTGGACTTGCCATGGCTGAGAATACTCTTGGCCATTTTTTCTGTGTGTATGTCTCTTTTAAATGTGACACATCTGTGTGTTGTTTCTTGTTCCTGGGAAGTATACAAAGATACTACTCATTTGGCCAAACAAGCACAAGAATAATTGTATGAATAGTATAAAACAGTGCCTAGAAAAAATACGGCAATGTGTTTCGTTAGTACAGTGTAGTAGCATATTACATTATATTATCATACAAACCAGGGAATGTGTTATTGCAGAGGCCTGTAACCATAGCTAAACAGGATAGTGAGATGCAGAGATGTCTTGCTCATGACAGTGTTCCTTGTATAGCCCTGTAGGCACAGAACACGAACTTAAAACTGTCCTTGGAGTACCCTGTGCCAGCTGAAATCTACAAACTTAGATTATTATGGCTGGCAACAATTGCAATATCTTAGTATACGATTGTGTTTCTGGGTCCTGTCTCCAGCATCACTGGAAAAGGAAGCAGTATAGTTCCTCAGTTAAATCCAGATCATGGTAGTGGGCTCTTTTATCCCTATTTTTTTTTTCCCTTTTGTTTGGGGCCTGTGACCTTCAGGATAGCCTCTGCTTGAAGACGATGCTTTGTGAGAGGTGTCAGCCATGACTCATCCTCTCTTGAGAGCTAGATGTGAATGTGTATGCCACCTCCTTCACAGGCTTCTGCAATCTGAACACTGCTTCAGAATTTTTCTCACTTTTCCAGTGGCACTTCATCCATTGCACAATTACTCGACCTCTCTGGAAGTGTCAAGGAACATACAGTAGTGCTACATTTTACAAAGATGGAAATAGTAGTTACCTTAAAATTCTGCTGAAAAATACAAATTTAAAAATAACTTTCTGATGTCTTTATTTACCTCAAAACGTGGAAGTAGGAGGGATCTTTCAGGATCCCTGTTGCTATCTGTCATCATATCGTCCCCTCCAAAAGTCACTCCACAGTGAAAGATTTGTATTTGGCCTTTCTGGCAAGCAGGCTGTGGCATACCTGCTGCACATGACAAGCCAGCCAAGCGAAGGGTAACAGCTTGCTGCCCAGCCCCTGAGTTTCTTCTGCTACCTAGAGCTGTGGGATTGGGAGAGACCTCACAAAAGTTGCTTGACTTCTGTGCATGGACCCAGACTGGACCTAGAAGAGCCATCTGACTTGTTCTGCAAAGTGTCCAGTGAGGAGATCCCAAAGTCCCTGGGCAAACTGTCCCATTGATCAGTTAGTTTTTTCTAACATACTGCTTAACTGTTCCATGTTCTAGTTCGGGACTTTTCTGTCCAGACTCAGTGGGTCTATGGTGCAGTGGACCGCTTCCTCCACCAACACAATGGGAGGAAACAGAGGGACAGGAGCAAGAAAACTCACGAGTCAAAATAACGACAGGGAAATGGCTCACCAAGTGCTGTTGCTGTCAAAACAGACTCAGCTTGGGGAATTTAGCTTAACTGCTAGCCCATTAACTTAAGTGTTTAATTATTGATTCAGATACTGGGGAAAAAAAAAAAAAATAAATTAAAATGCTTTGGGGGAAAAACATCTCCCATTTTCCCAGGCTTGCTTCACTCTGCTGCTTCCTCATCACCACCTCACGCCAGACACCTCTCCTGTTCCTTCTCACGGCTGCAGGTTGCACTCATGCCTTCAGAGCAGGACTGAGCAGTGCAGGGATGTGGGGTCAGGACATCACGGTTTGTCTCTGCCCAGATTGCCCAGAGAGGCTGTGGATGTCCCCTCCATGGAGGTGTTTAAGGCCAGGTTGGATAAGACCTTGAGCAACCTAGTCTAGTTGAGAGGCGTCGCTGCCCATGGCAGGAAGGTTGGATTAGATGATCTCTAGGGTCCCTTACAGCCTCAGCCATTCTGTGATTCTGTGATTCTCTGCTGCTTCTTCCTTGTACTTCTATTCTCCACAGGCTGCAATTTGCTCTGGGGATTTACCTGCTCCTCATCTAGCCTTGGCATTTCCCCATTCTGTTCTGCATCATGGAGCAGCTAGAGCTGGACATGCCCAGCATGGAGCAGTGCCCAGCTTCTCACAGAGGCCACTCTGCAGCCCCCCCCCGCTACCAAAACTTTGCTGTGGATACCCAATGGTTCATCGCTGTCCTCTGTTTTAATTACCTCCTATATATGAAGGTTGTTTTGCTCCTCCACAGGCTGCCTTTTTTTCTCCAGACTAACTAAATGCACTTTCTTCAGCCTTTCCCCATAGGTCTCATTTAATTTTCTTTTGGATTCTTTCCAGTTCTTCTGTGTCTTTTGTAACATGTTGTGGCCGAAACTGGAGGTAGAAATTGGCCGTGGACTCCTATCTGCCTTTAGAAATGACATAATCGCGTCTCTTGCCTTACCTCAGACAGTTGTTGCACAACAGACCCACTTCAGTTGTTTTCCTTGTGTCTGATCAGCTTCAGCTTGACTGTCTCTCCATGGCTTTTTTAATACACGATTAATTTCTCCTTCTGAAGTGCAATACTAAGCAAATTCTTAGTTTTGTCATGTTGATTTTGGACAGTCTCTTAAGTTTGCCTAATCTGTTCTGCAGAGTGCCTGCCATCCCCTTGGGCTTGGAGACCTTCTCCTCTCCCTTTCCCTGTTCAGATGGGACCTCACAGAGCTCCTGCAGCGGGGATGTGCTGTCTCTTCCCCTGCTGCCATGCAGACCAGTGCTCAGCACTTGTCCACTGGTACTTCCCAGACACACTGCACTCTTTCATGTGGGTATTTCAGGCCTCCTGCTTTTCCTCATTAAGTGTCCATAGTGCCTGTTAACACCTCGTACTTCTGGTTGGGCTACGAGGATTTTTAACACTCCCTACTTAGGTTTTTTCTTACCTGTTGAATCTGCCGACAGATGCTAAAAACATTTGTCAGATTCAGCATCCCTCTCCCACACGGTTTGGCAAGCAAAGGCAGTGTTTGGGCAAGGCTCAGAGGGACGCCCAGCTCCCTTCAGCAGCCAGGGAGACAGTGAAGAGCGTGGCTTCAGGATCTGTGTTTCACTGCGCTCCAGGTGCGGCCACAGCAAAGCAGAGGCATATAATAAGGAATTCTAATGTGTGTTTCAGCCATGGGAACAAAGAAGTATTTTCTTGTCGAGGAATCAAACTGGCAGTAGACTGGTTTTTGGAAAGAGGCCACAAGGACGTTACCGTGTTTGTGCCAGCATGGAGGAAAGAACAGTCAAGACCTGATGCTCTTATCACAGGTAAGCTCTTTTCCAGCTTTGCTGGTTTGTTTGATGCTTTGCGCAGCATGACTGCTACTGCTCAAATGAACAAATCTTTAGAAATGAAAGACTATAATAGATAGTATCTTTGGTGCAGTAACTTCATAGCAATCTTCAGGAAGGAAAAGGACAAAGCAATGTTCTCTCTAAGTCTTGCTTTTCTGCTCACCTGGTAATTTTTCCATTAACATTGCTACTCTTTTTCTTGAAGAATCTAATTACTGGGTTTTTTAAAATGTGTTGTGCCCATGTAACATTGGCAGCAAAATGGTTTGGGGTTAGTGATTTGCTTAGTTAGATATTTCTTGTGGTGAGCAGAATGTGCCCAGCTGGCCTGTCTGCTGGTCACCTGCAGTGAGTCACTGGCCAGGCTTGGGGTTACGGGAATTATCCTGAGAGAAAGAGGGTGGTTCCCCTTTCCATCATTACTACTAACAAATGAAACAGCTTTTGAAAATTTTACTTCTGTGTCTGTTTATCTAAAAAAGAAAAATTAGTGTAGAGTTATTTATTTCTGGATCAAATTAACTGAGTCTGTGTGAATGCTGGAGGGTTGTCCTGTGTCTGCCCTAAAGTTGAAGCAGAGGAGAATTTGTGGTTAAAAACCCCCTAGAATTTAGGGCAAGGAGGGAGTTGGGTTTCAGGGGGAGCTGAGTTTTTTTTAAATATGGCTACCTTTGAAGGGAGGGGAGCTTTTGAGAGTAGTAGCTGTGGCTTCTAAAAGAATATGGAAACATGTCTTGATTACCACATGCATTTTCAAATATCTGGAAAGATATTCACAGCACTTAATTTAATTTACTTGGTTGCTACTAGGCCATATCGAGTTGGTGTAAGAAAATGTTTGGAAAGCTGCTGTTCTCCTCTCATCACGGGCAGCATGGAGCCTTTCTCTTGAACCTTTTCTCTTTTCTATGTACTAGTGTTTGGGGCATGAGAAGAGCATTGGCTAAGTCATGAAGATTTGGCTATATGGAAAGAAATTGTGACATCTGCCAGAGCTGTGCGTAGGGATAAAAGCCCCAAAAGGACTTTGAAGAAAGTAGCAAGACTTAGTTGTCTAGCAATGAAAAATGAGTTTACCATGTGTCATCATGGACCCTGAAATTGGGCAGAAGATCCAAGCAGGCTGTTACATCTTCTGTAAAACAGAGGTTCTTCAGTTCCCTTATCAGGGTGCAGGGAGCCTGTTTGCTGCCAGTCTTGTGAAGTCATTGTGCTGACACTCCATCTCCAGAGATAGGCACCTAAAGTATGTGGCCACATGGAATTTGAAAAAGTCTTAAGATGACTAACGTGAGGTTGGTTCTAAACTGTCAGTGTTCCTGACAAGCTTCTTGGACTAAAGCACAGCCACATATTTCTTAATATTACCTGTCAATCGTCACGTGGCAGATATTTTTTCTTACTTAGTGGGAAAAAAATCACCTTCCATCACATTCTTATTCATTGTTTACCACATCACGGGTGGGGTCGTGGTGATAAATACAAAAAGATTTGATTTCATATAAAATGTTGTGCTTTTTCTACTAAGCAGATAAGTGCTTGTATCAAATCTATTGCTTGTATGTAACATTAATGCTCCATTTCGTCCTGTTGAAGTCTTTTTTTTTTCCTAGATGGAACATGTTCCCTGTCAAGTTTCCTGTGCTACAAAACAGTTGAGTTATTTGAGATGTCAAACATTAAGAGCAAGCCATGACTCACACTCCCTGCACAAACATCTTCTGCTGTTTTAGATGTTGCCTAGCTTTTTATTTATTCTTATTTCATAATTTGTCTGCTCTGAGGAGAATGATAGCTAGGAGAAGAGACACAAGGGGTATGTGCCTGAGCCCATCTTTCAGAGCTCCTTCAGATCACCAGGTTCCACACAACGAAAGAGAAAATGCTCCTTGATAGGTGACAGACAGACTGTGTAGGACAAGAAGGAATTACATAAAATGTTAAACATACTTACCAGAGTTAAAGAGAAATCTAATTGGATTTTTAAAGACCTTATATATAAATTTCTAAACCTTTCAAGGAAAGATAGATTCTGAACTGTTACTAGAGGTAAAAAAAAAAAAAAAAAAAAACAAAAAATCACCGCATTTGCTGTTGGTTACAAGATGACATTGGAGGGTTTTTTTAGGGTATGCTGGTAATGTTTGTGAAGAGCCTGAGAGTTTGTACAGAGTGTGGGTTTTCTAGTCCATGTGGACACTAGTAGTTACCCCTTCTCTTGATGGGCAGAGACTTTTTTGAGTCAGTCCCATTAACGTAAGCTGCTAGAATTATTTCAAAAGATGTGTCTTGCTGGGTACCATAAGGAGATGGAGGAGGTCTGTCTTCATGAATGAGCTCAGTTACAGGAAACCCTTGGCTGTACTTGGGTGTACCCTTCCTATTGGCTGAAACATTCAGTGGTGTTTCAAACCACCCCTTCAACCAGCTGGAGTTAAACATCTTTCTCATTTTTTATTAACTTCTGGTTCTTCTTTCCTGTAGATCAAGAAATCCTGCGTAAGTTAGAAAAGGAGAAGATTCTGGTGTTCACGCCGTCCCGCCGGGTGCAGGGGAGAAGGGTGGTGTGCTACGACGACCGCTTCATCGTGAAGTTGGCCTTTGAGTCAGATGGCATCATTGTTTCTAACGATAACTACAGGGATCTAGCCAATGAAAAGCCTGAGTGGAAGAAGTTCATAGATGAACGCTTGCTGATGTATTCGTTTGTCAATGACAAGTAAGTCATTCTGTCTTTATTCGTGCCACTAAAACAGTTAAAGAAAGGACAGTTTGAAGACATGTATGGCAAGACAGGAGGAATAGTTGATCAGATTTGGTCTTCTGATTAAAAATACTCAAACTTGGTTTTTTTTTGCTAGAGCTTTTTTATAGTAATACCTTCTGTGCTATTTTTTTCCTGTTTTGGTGTACACAACTGTATATGCTGTATTTGATCTATGATATGGTATAATATTCCAGTATTTTTTATATACTGGGTCAGCATTTTTGAGTGCCTATGGTTACACTCCTACATCCTGGAGTCATAGAAAACCTCATAGTTGACTGTCTGCTTAGACCCCTGTCAGGTATCTTCATACCTTAGCATACAGATCAACTGCAGTTACTACTGGTGGCTTCTTGTAGGGGAGAGGACCCAGTACTCTGCTAAGCAGACAGTTGTACTTGAGTGCCTAAGTACCAATGCAAGGGTCGTGGACAATCAGCACAGCTTTGCAAAGTTAGTTGAGACTTTTTAAGAAATAACTGCCTATATTGTTGCCCTTACTTTCATTTAGGAGTGGGTTGTGTGCAGCCCTGCTTTGCTGCAGAGCAGCCAGCTGAGCTAGGCTATGGGCGTCTGAAGGAGTCTAGGGTGTCCAGACAGTCTAGTTCTATGACTCATCTCTCAGGCAGTGCCTGCAAGAAGAAAGGTGGCCTTTCAAAACAGCTCTCAGAGTACTCAGGCTTAAAAATGTCAGCGTGGCAGGTTACAGGTTACAGTGTAGTACAGAGTCATGAGGTTCTTGGTGATTGCATGAGGAATATGAAAAAACTTGTTTGCTTCAATAATACTCTTTTTGGGGTTTTTTTCTTTGTAGATTTATGCCTCCGGATGATCCTCTTGGCCGACATGGTCCAAGTCTGGACAATTTTCTTAGGAAGAAGCCTATTGTGCCAGAACATAAGAAGCAACCGTGTCCATACGGTAATTTGATTTAATTCGTCCATTTTCTGTACTGTTGGGACTGAGGACCAAGGTCATGCTTTCTTTTAACACTGCCAAAAAGAAAAGCTTTTTAATGGAGGTTTTTACGTTGTTGTCTTATCCTGAGAATGATTAAAGTGCTGATCTGATGGTGGAAACTGAAGTGATTTTTTTATCTGCTAGTTAGAGAATATCTCTGTCTACTGTCTGAACTAAAGGAATAACATTATTAATCATTCATAGGAATATATCCAAACAGCACCTAAATTCTGCAGGCTTCAGAAAGTCCTTTTCCAATGTGATTTGGTCATTAGACATCAAGTTTTTCTTCCAGCAAATTGATGGAGCTATCTGAAGTATAGGCACTGAGCATACCTACAGGCACACCACCATCTTGACTGAGCTGAAACCTGCTGGTTACGACTCTGTGGAACTTTCCTTTGACGTTTTCTGCCTGTGTTATCTCCTTGGCTCAGTGGAGAAGAGGTGTACAGACACACTGACAGTGTCCTGTTGAGCCCAAAATGTGCCTGGTAGTGTCAGTCTGCATTCCTAAAGCACTATCTGCAGCACAGTACCACTGCCTCCTTTTCCTCACAGTAAAAGAGAGGAGATCTTAGATCTCACCATGTCACACAAAGCCATTTGCAAGATCTTTCAGATCATGAATAACAGATTTGGTTGAAGATTTTTTTTTTATCTGATTCTGTTTGTGTTAATAGGGAAGAAGTGTACATATGGACACAAATGCAAATACTATCATCCAGAAAGAGGAAATCAGCCTCAACGTGCCGTAGCTGATGAACTTCGTGCCATGTCTAGAAGCACAGCTGCCAAAACTACAAGTGAAGGAGGACTGGTAAAAAGCAATAGTGTTCCCTGTAGCACTAAAAACGATGGCACTTCTGAGCTGAAGCGTGCTGCTCCAAAGAGGCAATCAGATCCTAGTATAAGGACTCAAGTCTATCAAGACTTGGAGGACAAGCTTCCCACCAAAAACAAATTGGAAACCAGGTCTGTACCTTCTTTAGTTAGTATACCAAGTTCCTCTGCTGCAAAACCCCAAAGTACCGCACCTTTAACTAACGGCCTTCCATCTGGAGTTCACTTCCCACCTCAGGATCAAAGACCACAGGGACAGTATCCTACAGTGATGATGGCAACCAAAAATCATGGAACGCCAATGCCTTACGATCAGTATCCAAAATGTGAGTCCCCTGTGGACGTAGGGTATTACTCTATGCTGAGTGCATACTCAAATCTCAGCATGTCTGGTCCCCGTAGCCCTGAAAGGCGCTTCTCCCTGGACACGGATTACAGGATCAGCTCCGTGGCTTCCGACTGCAGCAGCGAGGGGAGCGTTAGCTGTGGCAGCAGCGACTCCTACGTGGGTTACAGCGATCGCTCCTACATGAGTTCGCCTGACCCGCAGCTGGAGGAGAACCTGAAGTGCCAACATATGCACCCCCACGGCCGCCTTAACACTCAGCCCTTCCTGCAGAGCTACCACGAGCCTCTCGCAAGAGTGCAGAGCTATAGCCACGAAGAACCAAAGCATCACCACAAACCTCCCATTCCGTACATGCCTGTGCATCTACAGCATCCGACGGTCGGCGCCCGCTCTAGCTGTCCAAATGACTACTCCGTGTCCCAGAGTTCGTCCCACTCCAAGAGCGTGCATCTGGGGAGAGCCCTCGTGTCCACCAGAATGGACAGCGTCTCGGACTCGCGCCTGTACGACAGCTCCCCGCTGAGGCACAGGAAGCCTTACCCTGGGCAGGACGGGCTGGGGGGCTGGGAGCGGCAGAGCTACGGGATGGATGCCTATGGCTACCGCCAGACCTACTCCCTGCCCAGTAACCCCACGCAGCCCTGCTATGAGCAGTTTGCCTTCCAAAGCTTACCCGAACAGCAGGACCAGGCCTGGCGCGTCCCCTACTGTGGAATCCCTCAAGACCCCCCGAGGCACCAGGACACCCGGGAGAAGGTTTACATTAACCTCTGCAACATCTTCCCCCCTGATCTGGTGAGGATCGTCATGAAGAAGAACCCCCATGTGACGGACGCTCAGCAGCTCGCTGCAGCCATCTTAGTGGAGAAATCTCAGCTAGGTTATTAAGAGATGATGCATCTTTGTGGTGTCCAGTAGTTTTCAGCTCAGCTCTAATGCTGAGGGAGGTTTGCTACAATAGCATTTGGGATCTCCTTCTCAGCAAGGAGGTTATATAGTAATCCGTTTATGTGAAATACTGTATCATGGAGTCTGTATGTATAGCCCCATGCATCAGAAGTACCAGATAGGTTTTGTGTTCTAGTTTGAAAATTTTTAAATGGCTATTTTCACAGCTGGAGAATGTTCCAGTTTAAATTAATATATAGAGAGATATATATAAAAAAAAAAAAAAAAAAATCTGTGATCTCTGGTTATAATCTTTGGTGCATCAGGGGTTTATATGCAGCACTTTCTATCCTTGTTACATGTTGTTGGGATTTTTATTTTCTTTTTTTAACTTGCTGGATGTTTGTCCTTGGTCTGCGTGGTATTAAAACAACCTGCAGAAAGAGGATTTTGCTACTTCGGGCAGGCAATTTTCAAGCCAAGTTTTTGAACTTTTTACAATACCATAAGTATGTATGTTTGGTGTCCGTTTGTTTTTGTGAGCTTTTTGTGCTATAATCATCTATTTATAGGAAACAAAGATTTACTGCAGCACTGACTTCATTTTTTAAAACAAGTTACCAGTTAACAGTGAAATGGGTAACAGTATTTGGTAATTTATAGTATGGCACTTTTCATTGCTTTGTCTTGTTTAAATAGTTACATGTTTTGTTGATGCAGTCAATTAGTAAGAACACATGCAATCAAAGGAGGAAAAAAAATACTTTTTTAAGAAAAATTAATTTATGGATAGGGTAAAAAGCCTTCTTGCCTGATTTTTTAGAGGTGCTGAGAATTTGCAGCCCCCTTGGAACACAGCAGAAGCTGCAAATGCTGACCTCCGCAAACCAGGCTGCCCTGGTTCAGTTCCCGTGTGTTGTACCCAGCTCTGTGTATTTCTGGTCAGTAGAAGGGAGCCTGGAATCACAGGGTCCCGTTTAGTTGGTTTATGTTTTTTTCTTTGTATTGCTGCACAAGTGTACTGGATAAAATACGCTTTTCATAAAATATTTACTTGTTTTTAAATGAATTTAATTATCTCAATCCAAGTTTTGTATTTAAGATACTGTTTGATTTTTCATGCTATTTATCAAGGCTGGCCTGAAAAGGTTTTGTGTGTTGAGGATATGCAACATTTATTAACTGCACTATGATAATGATATTGTAGCTCAAAATAATAACTTAAACTTTTTTTTTTTTTTTCCTTTCTATTGCGGTTGGGGAGGGGAGGGTTGCAGGGAGAGAAGATACCGTGCGTGTTCCTGAAGTTAGTTTTTGGCCTGTTGCCTCACATAAGCCTGATTCTTGCCACAACCAGTGTAGTTTTAGAAACAGACAAACCAAGTCTGTTTTAGTATTAGTAAGGGATATTTCTGGTTTTAAGTCATGGGTTTTACTAGCACCTCAGAAGCTTTTTTTACACATGTAAAATAGAAATAGATTTTACAGTTGGTGTCAGATACATTTATATGACTGACCGCTGACAGTTTTAGGTTTCCATCCATTGTAACAAAGTTCAATCACTAGTTTACACTACTACTGCTGATAGTTTTGGTACGCTTGCTGGAATTTAAAGTAAGGCCCTGAAGAACCAGAAAGTACCTTTTACTGTTGATACAAATTGTATCTTTTTAACTGAGAACTATTTTGATTTGTAGATTTAGTAGAAACAGAAATGTATAACTATAACTAGTCTTTTGGGCAACATTTTATCCCTTATTTAAAAATTAGAGATTTCAGACATAGAATAGAGCTAGGCAAGTAAAAGTAGATATTTATTTAGGCGTTGCTCTCAATTTCATATATTAAAAAGAAAAAAACCCCAACCTATTGGCATCCTCTTCCTTCTAAAATCTTTATAGGGGGAACTCGGTAAAATAAAGGTAAAATGCTGCCTGAAAATGATGTCCAAGCACCTTTGAATACGAAGACATTTTCACTACTTGTGCGACACCGTGTGTTGCAGCGAGTAGGGTTTGGGTACACAGTAAATGCTTCTGGAGAGCATTGTGCTTATAGACACATCCAATAATCTGAACCGTGTTCAGCAGACCGATTCAGGACG